CACGAATACACCGTGACTTGTATCAGTGTTCAGTAATAACCCCCGACCACTGCATGAATCAGAAAGAGTCATGAAGAGCTGAGAAGAAACAAGGGTGTTCAGCCAGTCTCTGAGTGACCACGTGTCCACACCCCTTAGGACGCTGTGCCCGGGACAGCCACCGCCACTGCGGTCGCTGGTGACTTCACTTGTCCTGCCCGGGACCTCGCCGGTCTGCACCCGCCCAGGAGTTACAGAGAGCAGTCTCTTCCCCAGTCGGTGGCCACCTGGGCCAGCGTTTCTCAAACTGGTTTTTCTGCTCAATCAGAGGCTCCCATTCTCCCATGAGGCCAGGAGCTGGGCGAGGCTCCCACAGCCTGGAAATCCCCAGGGAGCCTGTCGAGACACGCAGGGCCAGGGGCAGGAGCTAGACCAACCCAGGGATGAGACCAGAGGGCACGGAAGCCAGCGCCCTCCTCCAGGGAGGCTGGGCGGGAGTCGCTCCGGCTGATTCTCACTCAGGACGAGGTTTTCTGTTCAGTGTCGATGCGTGTTTTGAGGTGTGATAACTGCATTCCTCTTGGGCATCAGTGAGAGTTTTCTGCTTTTATTACAACGGGGAATAGAAGTCCCCAGATACTGTTGTCAGGGATATGAGGAATCAAGTCCAAGTTCAAGAGATGCTGAGTTCCCGTCCGGCCAGTGGGAACGCAGAGGGACCCCAGAACAAGCAAGCCAAGTGTGCGTCAGGGAGCCAGGGCCCCTCCCCACTGCACCCCAGGAAAGAAGGCAGACCTCTGAATGGGACCAACCACAGGAAAAGACACCCTGAGCATGTCACGGAGCTTGGGAAGGTTAGAGAAAAAGCGTCTATAAAGTTTCCTGCGTATGTTTAGAAAAGCCTGCACACGCATTTCTTTACATCTGCAATGTTTGGCAAAATATTAACAGTGACTTTCTTGAGGTGGTGGAATTTCAGGTGCACTAGTGTTTTAGACCATTAGCTTTTTTTTTTCTTTTTACAGTAAATGTGTAGCTTTTCTATGAAATCATGTGCACTTTTTAGTGTCATAAGTGCATCCTTTTGAATATTTTACCATGAAGGAAAAAGGCATTGGGCAGATCAGGAGCTAGTGAACTTCTGCCACAAGGGCAAAGGACTTCCTGTTTCTATAAATAAAGTTTTATTGGAACACAGCCCCACTCATTCATCTAGCTGCGGCCTGTGAGTACTTTTGCTCTACAAGAATAGAGTAGAGTAGAGTAAGGTAGGGTGGGGTAGGGTAGGATGGGATAGGGTGGGATAGGGTGGGATAGCTGTGACAGATTGCTTAGCCTGAGGTACTCACCAGTTTCTGTAGAGAAAACACATGGCAACCTTTGGTGTGCACAATGGACTAGGAAACATTTTCCGCACGGCAAATTGTACCTGACGTTTTACCTGTTCTTCAGATTTCAGTGTATCTAAATTTCTATTTCTTAAAACCATATTGTCCGAATATTTTAAAGAACGGTGCAGTTCTGAGGAGTGATTACAGGAAGGGACTGGAGTGAGGACACCAGAGTTTGGGTCGTCAAGGTCTCGGTGCAGAGCGCCCCTCTCCTCCCTGTGCTCCCTTCCTCCTGCTGAGCTACTGTTTCCGCTCAGCTGCCATGGTGCTTGGGGGAGGACCACAGGGAGGACTGAGGCTCCCTTCCATCCTGGCTTGGGGAAGTCCGGAGCAGCTGTCCTGGGAGGAGAGGAAGGGGGTCCTCAGGGTCCGAGGCAGGTCTGGAGGGGAGAAGAGAAGGAAGCTGAGGGTAAGGTCACACCCAGAGAGGAGGCGGGAGCTGGTGGGCACAGGTGCTCTCTTGCTGTCCCTCTGTCACCCCTCACCCCAGGCCCATGCGGCCTCCCAGACTCAAGGGCACTGGAGGTTTTGCTCTGTCACACTCAGGGTGCCCAGCCTCCAACCTGCCACCTGCACAAGGGCCACGACGCCAGTCTGAGCGAAGCCAGGTGCTTAGGCATTCTCAAAATTCAGCCCCAAAAGCTGGACTTGGGCCCGGGAAGGAAACGAGCTCCAAAGCCAGGTAATGCGATGTGTCACTAGCACGATCCCTCTGCCAGGCGCCCACTGAGCTCCTTCCTGAAGAAAAGATCGTGCGTGGTGGCACGGGCAGCCGCAGCCTGGGAAGTGACTGGCTTCTGGCCGGGGTCGGAGCTCGGCTCCTCACCACCTCTGGACCCGACCTGTGCGCGGGTTGGACAGAGAGGGATGTGTTTACCCCGGCGCTCTGATAGCAGAGCTGCTGCTTCCCTCAGCTGTGGATGCCGCGAGTGGAAACTGCAGGGCCGGAACCCCCGGTTACCCCGGTGTCCAGAGCGTTTTCCCAGAGCACGGGAGAATTTCAGAAAACGTACTTCCAACGATTATTTTCCTTTTATATTCCAGTATTCCATGGTACGGTAGATCCTGAAATCCTGGATGACTGTTGATGCTATTCCGTTATCTCAGATTATTTCTTTTTTTTTTTTTTTTTTTGGTTTTTCTCCGGTACCGGGAACCAAACTCACAACCTTGCGCTTGCCAGGCAGGAGCTTTGCTGCTGAGCTAAATCCCCAGCCCTCAGATTATTTCTTAAAAATAAAACTTGGGGTCGTTTCTTGTCTGGGTCATTTCTTGAGATGACCGAGAGTGCATGGCACATTCAGATCTTCAAGGTACTCCCGGTGCCTTTGGCTGGAGAGTGTCCCTCCCGTTCCTGTCCTGCTCAGACCTCCGCGGCCCTCTCCTGTCTTCCCAGCTTTCTAGGGAGGTCCCTTCAGGACTGCGTCATCTGTGGCCAAGCATCTCCTTGCAGAGGCCTGGTGGATGTTGCTTATTTTCTCCTATAAATGACTTTGAACTTTATTCCGGAATAAATTTAATTGGAAACGGGTTAATCCCCTCAGTTCGTGCAATTTGTTTGGCAGGATGGCAGCGGCTGTCACTCTGGGGCTGATTTTCCCTCTACAGAAGCAAGGCCTGCGTGTGTATGATACGCTACTCGCTGAGGTTTTCCGGCCCTGCTGGCGGGAGAGGCGCCCTGGCCTCCGTGACCCCTGGGTTCTCTTCCTGTACGCGCACCGCCTTCTTTGGTTCGCAGTCCTGTGAATCCTACTCTGTCTCCTCAAGTCCCCCAGGCTTCTCCTAAATTCCCCTCTGTTCTCTGGGCAGGAAATTCCCTCCCAGGGGTTGCTCTAGGATCCACTTCCTCTGTCGGCCATCATAGGGATCCCTGTCCTTTTGTCGGTATTTTGCAAAGCATTACTTCATGCACTTTTCCTGGCTAGGTTGCTTCAGGTAGGAGGCGAAACCAGTTCCTTTCTTCCACCCGGCACTCTTATGCTCGCTTCCTGTGATCTAATACGCGGATGACGAGGTCCATGAGAACAGTGACCGCGGCTGTGCTGTTGACCTCTGTTTCCCAGCTCCTCCTGCCTGCCTGCCGCGGAGCAGGGCTCGCTAAGTACTGGGTGAGCTAGTGAATGACTGAAAGCTAGACCAGGACCAGGAGCAGGTCAGGGGAGGCCTTGAACCCTGAGCAAAGAAACGCAGCAGTTTTTGCCAAGAGCAGAACTTCCTGTTCTGTGCTAGAGGACGTGGGTCAAGTTCTGTTCCTCTGCAGGAGGAGGACTTGAAGGGTTCCCCGCCGGTGGCGTGGCCTGAACCGCGGGTCTGTAAATCTGGCAGAGCTCTTAGCTGGTGAGGCCACACTTCTGAACGTGACTCGGGATTCGGGAACCAGGTGTAATGAAGAATCTTGCTTTTGACGCTGCCTCTTAGATTAGCTTGCAGCGCTTTGCAGATGGGGTTTCCGTGTCATGGTAGAGGGTTGTCCTCTACCATGTCCTCTCTTCTTGCACTGGTGACTGTGGACGGGGCTCTGCATCCTGCTCACTGTGACACGCCTGCTGCTTCTTCCCTCAGGACAGTGATGTGGGCACTGCCCCTAGCAGCACCTTTTCTGGGATAGATACATTTTTTGTTAGTACAGGTTCGCCATACATAATGATCACATTCACCCTGGGGAGTCTGTGCCTGCACGCGACGCATCTTCTTTCTTCTGTTTTCCCCATTCCCCGCCCTTCAACCCTCCTTCCCCTCCCCATGTCACAGAAGCTGTTCTGTTTTTCCTGCCGTCCTCTTTTTAACCCCTTTTCCCTTGCTTTCCTCCCCCCCCCTTTCAGTTCGAGCATCGTTCAGCTGCTTAATTCCAGTTCTAAAGGTGGACGTAAAAAATGAACAATGTTCTTAAAAAACTTCCCTTGCAAAGCTTCTCCACTGGTCTTTCTGACTTAAATCTCAAGAGCAGCCCACTGGGTTGGGAAACGTGTTAGAAACTGCAGCTGATTTAGTTTTCGGGCTTTTCTGGTGTAGTCGCTTGGGTGCACGAGCTGAGTGAGACACACCTTGGAACCGCAGGCTCACCGTCCTTACTGACAGAGTGAGCAACAAAACTATTTCTAGATCACAGCTCTGATCTCCCAGCCCCCTCTGAGTGGGGTCAGCCAGCTCTCCCACAAGCCACTGCGCGATGCAACCCTTTCTTCTCCAAAACGAACAAAATCTCAAAGCCTCCTCAGGCTTTACAGAAAGAAAACAACGTTTTACAGCAAGCTAAAGTGGGAAGGAACACTGTTTTTCTATGTAGATACAGTATTCAGTCCTTGACGGTTTCGGCCCCAGGTTCTGGCGGAATGTTCCAGTTCCGCCCGGCTCTGAGCTTTGGGTTTCAGAGGAACCTGGGTCTCCTTCCCGCTGACGTTTGTATACAGTACGTTCAGTTTTCTGTGACGCCTTTGGGCTCTGCTTATCGTCTCAACTATGGGCCCAGCCTGACGAGGCTCTGTCAGTACAGAGGAATTACTGAGAAGGGACGGAAATAGTGAAGTTCAGCAACTGAACAGAAACTAACCAGCTACACTGTGTGTGTGTGTGTGTGTGTGTGTGTGTGTCAGGGTGCCCAGCGATGAATGAGGAAACATTCTCTCCTAGGAAGGTGTGGCCTGGCCTCCCTGCCTGACCCCGAGTCTCCCGGAAACGAGCGCTGAGCGGAGCCGAGCCCTTGCCGACTTTCCTGTGCATGCACTCGAGAGGAAAGAAGGTCGGCGCGCAAAGCCTGCAGGTTGGGGATCCGCACACCCAGGAGCTGCAGATGTGGCGTGAGCACCAGCATCCCGCGGTGCCTGCAGCACAGCCGTGCCTGGATTTTGGAAGAACCGAGCGTGTGCTCAGTTTGCTTACCTGAGTGACTACAAGTTGGGTTTCTGTCCTCTGCAACAGAAGGAACCGGGACTGCTGCAAGGACAGCCTGTCGTCTAACTCGGCCTCGGACGCTTCCCCCAGCCCTGTTTCTCTGGGTGACTTGGCTGCTTGTCACCCTGTGTTAGGTCAGTTCTCTTCCTTCACCCACTGTTAACCTCGTGCCTGCCCCGGTCCTTCCTGTTCGCAGACATCCCAACCCTCACACGTACCTTTTTATTTGCTGTGTCCTCACAACATATTCTGTGTGAATCACCTTGCTCCATCCCATGAGGTGAACAGATCCTAAGTTACGGTTGGACAGGAGTGATATAGATAACAACAGTCTAATATATATGTATAACCTGGAAGAGAGGATTTTTAATGTTTGTTTGACATAAAGAATCAATAAATGCCAGAGAAGATAGATAACTTTATAAGGGGCGATTGAAACAGACGGTGAATGTTTAAACATATAGGGAACAAAAACTTATTGTAGTAAAAGATTGCCAAAAACAATGGCATAAGTGTGGTCAAGGTGAGGACGAGTGTTGTGAAGAGGATTAATGGCAATGTCTCTTTAGTAATAACTTCTTTAAATATTCACTGGACTTTTGATCACCCTATTGATCAGCTCTTTTTGGCAATTTCTATCAAATGAAAATAGTGCACGTGGTCATCTGCCTTAGTCATGGGATCCGGTACCGTGAGACTTCCGGCTCCTCCCCAGAGTCAGAATGAGCAGGGGAGGGAAACGTTTTGAGTGGATTCAGGACATGGAGGCAGCCAGGACGGTGCAGCTAAAGACCCTCAGGAGAGAGGACGCCAGAGCTGCTGCAGGACATGGCCAGGACCATAGAATGGTCGTGTTCAAAGCAAGGGTGGGAGGTTTAGGAGAACTCATGGAAATGTGGATTTTACCTCAGACACTTTTAAAAAAGTTCAACATTTTGATCAGACCTCATAACACAGCACAGGTTGGGCTGCATCGCCTGCACAACTCTGGATCCTGTAGGTCTCTTGGAGTGGCCAGCACCCCCAAAGGAAGCTGGACGTCCACTTGCAGCTGGGGAGAACTGAAGCCTGGCTCCCTTCCCTGGGTCGGTTCTTGCTGCTGGGATGTGCACTGACCTTCCCAGTTGTCCCTGGGCCCCTCTCCCTGCTTCTTAGGGATTGTGCTGTCTTTTTCTGTGTAACGCTAGTCGGACGGGGTGTGGGGCAGTGTAGAGGTCGTCCTGTGCGCAACCGCCTTTGTTTAGTCACGGACCAGCGACTCCAGGAGGCGCAAAGTGCTGGCTCCGCAGGCCGCAGCAGTGTCCCCCCATGGGGGCGGGTCAGGTTCCGATTCCCCACAGTCGCCTTGTGTGCAGCTGTGGCTGGGGTGGGGTGTGGGGTTTGGGGCTGGGGGCGTGGGGAGGGAGGGGTTTGGAGTAAGATCGCAGAGAGCTGCACAGCTCCGCTGCTCCTCGGCCTGCCCTGGCCGGTCCTTCTCTCCTTCTCCCGCTCGCCTGAGAACTTGTCTTCCTTCTGCTTCCAGTCACCCTTTTTCTGTTCCTTTACTTCTATTGATCTTCATGGTTCTCCTCTCTGATTTCAAGAAAATAGAATATTTTGAGTTAAATTCTTAGCTGTTACATATATACACACCATAATTTGTAAAAGATTTAAAAGAAAGCATTGGAAGGAAGTAACAGGCCCCCTGGCTGCTAACAGTTATTCTGCCCTTCCTGTGTGTAGGGTGCAGCTCTAAGGGCTTTCTACACATTTTACAAAATCTCTGCTGCAGCCAGTGAGGCAGGGATGAGCTCCACTTGAGATATCTGGTCTACCAAGTTATTTAATTAATGCTAGACCAGGAGAGGAAAACCCTGCCTGTCTTAGTTACTTTTCTCTTGTTGCTGAGACAAAATACCCGACACCCCAAAT